ACTGCCAAATAAAACAATTTCAGGGAATCCATCAGTAATTTTAATCATGTTTAGATATTAGTATTTCTTAAATTGCTATTGAACGTTTATGTTTTCATCTAATGTTCTGGAACGATTTAAATTGGATGTTATGAAGTTTATTATTTATTAAAGTTTAAAGTTTTCAATTAAAATTTTCCGCTTCAATTATGTTTATGGAATGATATTGGTAACGCTCCAAGGTTTAAGTCATTAAAAATTTGGGGCGTTACATCGTGGATGCCATGTAGAGGAATAAATATATAACAAGCTCTTGTGCTGTTTGTTTTTTCTTTTGGCAAAATAGTGACATGTTTGGCTCGGAGGATTTGATACTACTAGACAGTATGAGTATTAAAGGTGTGTGCTTGTGTATCAAATACTACAACTTTGATACCATCAAATTTGTCTTGTTATTAGCAATTATTACATATATTCATACACTATATGACATAGTCCTCTCTTATCATGACATGCTTGATCTCAGATACTCTATGAATGTGCAATACATTATTGCCTAGCCCTGGCTAGACATGAATTTGGATGCATATCTTTGAATGAATGCATCAATAGCATTGCCAGTAACCAGAGAGAGACGCCCCTGAATCGTATTGCAATACTACCTACCAAAACATGCACTTTATGTTTTGATTTTACTTTCATGGAAATTGTTCTTTACTTGTGAACTTATCAATTTAAGGTTTTCCTTTTAGGAACTATGTCGTGCATCATGTACTCGAGCTTAGAAACGATCTTATAATGAAGATAATATTTGTATGTCTTCAAGGTCAGTTTATACAGCTATCAAAGACAAAATGAGGCAGTCATGTGGTAGAGAAATGCATTAAATCTTCTGCATTTGGATACAGTTTTATGGTTACAGAACTTTAGATTATTCGAACAATATTGTTCGACTTAGTGACTCTCTATCCCTTTACTTTAGGAAGTCATGGGTTTCATTTCATGTATTTGAGAAACATGAGGTCATTTTTTATCATTTCATTAGCTGTTTACTTATTTTTACTATGCCCATTACCGTTTCTCCTTGCAATCCAAAGTTTCTTAACATGTTTGGGTGTGTAGCAGAGCAAAAACTCACTTGTTCACCAGCCATGCTTCAATTTAAAAAAATTAATATTCAATCTACAAAGTTTTCGGAAAGAACCATAAAATGCTCTAGGAGAGAAAATTGAAGTTTCACGTAACAATGTATCTTTTGACAAATGCCTTCATAAAACGAAAAAAGTGAAGTCAATTAACCAGAAACAAATTAAAAACAATATTACCTTCAGCGCGCAACAACGGGTGGCGCTTTACCAACTTCTCCTCATCTCCCATCTACAACACCAACTTATCCTCCTTCTCCATCTACAGCAACCGCTTATCCTTCTTCACCATTTGGTGTTACAACAACTTCACCGACTTCTCTTTCACAACACCAACTTCTCCTCCTTCACCATCTACAGCACCAGCTTCTCCTTCTTCACCATTAGGCACAACAACAACTTCACCAACTTCTCCTTCTCCATTTCTAGGTACAATTTCTTCAATAGCAATAGGGTTAACGTTCATGGCAGTATGATCCATTGTGAGAAAGAAGAGAAACCGTGGATGAGATTACTATGTAGAGGAATAAATATATAACCGAATAAATGGTTGAACCTATTTTTCTATTCTTATCGGTGTAAAGGAAATGATTCCAACTCAACTGTCAGCATTGCTGGAATAATGCCAATTTCCTTAGAACTCCATAGTGGCATCAATTTTACTGTACATGCTTCCTTTCCTCGGAATCTTTTTATTTTTCTTCTTCTATTTTTTTTCTTTTCGACGTGTAATGTGTCCATTTGATCCTATTTCTACACCCTTAAAACCACGTGTACCGACATGCAAATCTTTTTCATATTAATTTAATATTATACGTAGTTAAACATACTCACAAAGTTATAGTTAGGGGAAGAAAGATAATTCGTCCTATCGAATTGTGTTTTAAGTACTATAAAACATGCCGATTTCGAGGAATTTCTGTTAGCATGCACCAAGAAAATTTTAAGGATCCCTGTCCGTTATAATAGTAAAATGTACTTTTTTAATGTAATAACAAATTATTTCTAATATATGTTTAGATTTAATGCAAAAAAACATGAGTCACTTTTGATGTTCTAATGAATCCAATTGTCTGAAAAATGACTTGTTGTTTCCTTTTTCTATTCCAAAATTAAGGTTACTATCCATTTTAAGTAGGAATGAAGATACGGTTTTATTGTAGTAATGTCAATGTAGTGTGGATAAAAGTGTCACTTTAACACTTAACTGGCAATGCGGAAATGGAATGGCAATGCCTGACCCTCATCTCCTCCCCCATTCTAGTATGGTACTACGATGGCAGCTGTCCTTTAACTTGGACAGAATATATACTGTGCGTCATTTGCCTAGTTCTACCTATAACTGCCATGTCATGTACAAATTTTGTTTTTTTAAAATGTGTCTACTACAAAAAAAAAATATTTGTCTCGATTGAATGAATGAGCAATGCACTATGGACAAATATTAGTTTTTTTTTCTATTAACTGACAAAGTCAGAATTCTTTGATAGGAAGACGAAAATATTGTTGAGGGACAAAATATATATGTATAATGTATATATTCATTTTTTTTCGAAATCCATATTTAATTTCAAAATATTTTGAAATGTTGCGGGGCAGTCACCATCGCAACCCTCGTTCTCTTATCCCTTAATCTAAATTATAACATTAGGCATCGAACCTGTGAATTTTATTGTGCACGATAACTGATTGATTCATAATAATGAAAATCATTCAATACAGGTCTTCAACATTCATTAGGTATAGCAACAACTTCACCGATTTCTCCTTATACGGCACCCGTTTCTCCTCCGTCACCATCTACAGCATCAGCTTCTCCTTCTTGACCATTAGGTACAACAACAATTTCACCAACTTCTCCTTCTCCTTCTCCATTTCCAGGTACAACTTCTTCAATACCACTAAGGTTAACGTCTACGGCAGTATGATCCATCGTGAGAAAGAAGAGAAATCGTGGATGGTATTGTCATGTAGAGGAATAAATATATAACAGGTTCTTGTGCTGTTTGTTTTTTCTTTTGGCAAAATAGTATCATGTTTGGCTCTGAGGATTTGATACTACTAGACAGTATTAGTATTAAATGTGTGTGCTTATGTATCAAATACTACAACTTTGATATCATTACATGCTTGATCTCAGATACGTTATGAATGTGCAGTAAATTATTTCCCAGCCATGGCTAGACATGAATTTGGATGCATATCTTTGAACGAATGCATCAATAGCATTGTCGGTAACCAGAGAGAGACGTTCATGAATCGTATTTCAATACTACCTACCAAAACATGCACTTTACGTTTTGATTTTACATTCATGGAAATTGTTCTTTACTTGTGAACTTATCAGTTTAAGGTTTTCCTTTTAGGAACCATGTCATACAGCATGTCCTCAAGCTTAGAAATGATCTCATAACAAAGATAATAATAGCCTGTCTCCAAGGTCAGTTTATACAGCTATCAAAGACAAAAGGAGGCAGTCATGTTGTCGAGAAATGCATTAAATCTTTTGCATTTGGAAGCAGTTTTATAGTTACAGAACTTTTAGATTGTTCGAACAATATTGTTCAACTCAGTGACTCTTTATCCTTTTGCCTTAGGAAGTTACGGGTTTTATTTCATGTATTTGAGGAATATGTGGTTAGTTTTTATCATTTCGTTAATTGTTTACTTATTTTTACTATGTGCATTACCGTTTCTCCTTACAATCCACAGTTTCTTAGCATGTTTGGGTGCGTACCAGAGCAAAAACTTATTTGTTCACCAATCATGCTTCAATTTTAAAAAAAACTAATATTCAATCTACAAAGTTTTCTGAAAGAACTATAAAATGCTATAGCAGAGAAAATTGGAGTTTCAAGTAACAATGCACCTTTTGACAAGCGTCTTTATAAAACGAAAAAAGTAAAGTCAATTGACCAGAAAAAAATTAAAAACAATATTACCTTCAGCAGCAACAACAGGCAGGGTTTCACCAGCTTCTCCTCATCCACCATCTACAACACCAGCTTCTCCTCATTCTCCATCTACAGCAACCGCTTATCCTACTTCACCATTAAGTACAGCAACATCTTTACCAATTTCTCCTTCTACAGCACCAGTTTCTCCTCCTTCACCATCTACAGCATCAGCTTCTCCTTCTTCACTATGTAGAGGAATAAATATACAACCGAATAAATGGTTGAACCCCTTTTCCTATTCTTGTGGGTCTCAAGGAAATGATTCCACCTCAACTGTCAGCATTGTTGGAATAATGCCAATTTCCTTAGAACTCCATAGTGGCATTAATTTTATTGTACATGCTTCCTTTCCTCATAAATTTTTGTATTTTTTTCCTTCTAGTTTTGTCTTCTCGACGTGTAATTTGTCAATTTGATCTCATTTCTACACCCTCGAAACCACGTGTACCGACCTGCGAATCTTTTTCATATTAATTTAAAATAATATTGTAGTAATGTCGAAATAGTGTGGATAAAAGTGTCACTTTAACACTTAGCTGGCAATGCGGAAATTGAATAAAATAGAATGGCAGTGCCTGACCCCTTGTCTCCTCCCCCATTCTAGTACAGTACTACGATGGCAGCTGTCCTTTAACGTGGACAAAACATATATTGTGCATCATTTGCCTAGTTCTACCTGTAACTGCCATGTCATGCACAAATTTTGTCTTCTTAAAATGTGTCTACTACAAATAAATATATTTGTCTCGATTGAATGAGGAAGCAATTCACTATGGACAAATATTAATTTTTTTTCTAATCAGTGACAAAGTCAGATTTCTTTGATAGGAAGACGAAAATATTGTTGAGGAACGAAATATATATGTATAATGTATATATTCATTTTTTTTTTCGAAATCCATATTTAATTTCAAAATATTTTGAAATGTTGCGAGACAGTCGCCATTGCAACCCTCGTTCTCGTGTCACTTTATCTAACTTATAACATTAGGCACCGAACCTCTGAATTCTATTGTGCACGATAACTGATTGACGATTCCACGCAATACCACTTAGAAAAAATGCAAGATTTGATCCATATTGATGAAAATCGCTCAATACCGATCTTCAACATTCGTTAGTGTTGTGTAGATAGTTCTCCATTTCCAGGTAATATTTCTTCAATAGCACTAGGGTTAACGTCTACGGCAGTATGATCCATCGTGAGAAAGAAGTGAAATCGTGGATGGTATTGCCATGTAGAGGAATAAATATATAACAGGTTCTTGTGCTGCTTGTTTTTTCTTTTGGCAAAATAGTGGCATGTTTGGCTCGGAGGATTTGATACGTACGAGGTCAGTTTTTATCATTTCGTTAGTTGTTTACATATTTTTACTATGCCATTACCGTTTCTCCTTGCAATCCACAATTTCTTAGCATGTCTGGGTGCGTACCAGAGCAAAAACTCATTTGTTCACCAGTCATGCTTCAATTTTAAAAAACTAATATTCAATCTACAAAGTTTTCTGAAAGAACCATAAAATGCTCTTGCTTAGAAAATTGGAGTTTCACGTAACAGTGCACCTTTTGACAAACGTCTTCATAAAACGAAAAAAGTAAAGTCAATTAACCAGAAAAAATTAGAAACAATATCGCCTTCAGCAGCAGCAACAGGCAGGGCTTCACCAGCTTCTCCTCCTTCTCCATCTACAGCAACCGCTTATCCTTCTTCACCATTAGATACAGCAACATCTTCACCAACTTCTCCTTCTACAGCACCAGTTTCTCCTCCTTCACCATTTACTGCACCAGCTTCTCCTTCTTCACTATTAGGTGCGGCAACAACTTCACCAACTTTCCTTCTCCATTTTCGGGTACAACTTCTTCAATAGCACTAGGGTTAACGTCTATGGCTGTATGATCGATTGTGAGAAAGAACAGAAAATGTGGATGGTATTGCTATGTAGAGGAATAAATATATAATCGAATAAATGGTTGAATCTATTTTCCTATTCTTATCGATCTCAAGGAAATGATTCCATCTCAACTGTCAGCATTGTTGGAATAATGCCAATTTCCTTAGAACTCCATAGTGGCATTAATTTTACTGTGCATGCTTCCTTTCCTAATGAATTTTTGTATTTTTTTTCCTTCTATTTTTGTCTTTTCGACGTGTAATGTGTCAATTTGATCCTATTTCTACACCCTCGAAACCACGTGTACCGTCCTACGAATCTTTTTCATATTAATTTAATGTTATACATAGGTTAACTGCCTCACAAGGTTATAGCTAGGGGAGGAAATAGGGATGGCAAAAA